CCGCGGGGAGAGAGTGATCGTAATCATATTTTCAGGGGGACGGATTTATGCAACGCACCGTTTCGTCTCACTGTACATAAAACGCATTTAAAATTCTCGAGGCGCGACCGGAAGGTGCCTGCTCCCGTCTCCGTCGATAGCGCGAGTCGCGCCGCGCCGTGCCGCGCCGGTGGTAGCGCCGCGGGGGTTGTAATTGGCAATATCTATCGAATTTTACAATAAATCTCACCGTGCCCCGAAGGAGGGCGGCGAGAGTGAGTGGGCCGCCGCCGCGGCAATAAAACACCGGGTAGTATCGCGAGGGGCTGCCGCGCGCCGTGCACTTAACGACTTATCTTATCTGCGAATTAGGTCGCGGTTAGTGCTCCGCTTAATGCGAAGCTACGAATACCGGGAGGCACGCGGCTGCAATCGTAACCACGTGATTTATGTTATTAGATCGGTGTGAAAGTAATCCAGTCGTATTTCGAATAAAATTATTTATTTAATATAAAATCTAATTGGTTATTATTGCTTGGGTATTATAGGTATATTATTCACACTTTTGGTCTTGAATGCGAAAGATTTATTCGGATAATGAAAATACACAGAAAAGGAATGTAACAGTTTTTCTCTTATCGAACAAAAAAGGAAGCGACTTCGACCTTATCGATTATATCATAGAATCGAAAATGGTCGCTGATGGAGCCAAGTTTCAAAACTTATAAACTACTTATCTGAGTACATGAAACATATATTCTTACTTATTAACAACAGTTTTATCTCAAATATATGATCTGTTATTTTTTTTATTCACATCTTGTTATATCTCTTAAGGAGGCTCTTACCTCGATCATAAAACGACAGATCTCTATGAAATTAAATTATGTTGTAAAGGTAAAGTGAACCACAACGAACCGATGCCCAAAACTTTAGCACAGGTTGACGATAAAAATTTTAAAAATATCAGTATTGAAATTCGCATTTTTAACACAGGGCATATGGTAAACACTAAAATTTTTACCGGAATTGATGTATTTTCTTGGCAAGTTTGCGAGCCAGGTAAACAAAAAACTAAGGAATTGTAGTTAAAATAATAATCTTTCTAATGATAAGAAGAAAACTTGGTGTTGATGATGAGTTATAAAAGATATTGTAGTTTTAATATGACGTACGACAGGTTAGGCGAATGATCTTCCGAGTGTCAAAATCGCGCGAAGTTTCTAACCTCACTTGCACATGTCTTTTCTCTGCGCTGTATGGTAGCGGCATAATTATTCTCTCGCGCATTGACAACCTTTATTTTCGAGAATTTTCCTTTCATTTTCCCTCTCAGCATTCTCACGTTATATCTTTCTTTTGGCTCCATCTCTTCATCGCATCAATCGCTACAACGCTACATGGCTACACCTCACTTAGCTGCAGACTGCTACAGACGACGTTGTAACACGCGCATGTTATTATTCTGCTCTTTAGCACTGACGTAGTCAACTGACTTATTGTATAAATTTTAATATTTACACTAATAGAACATATAACTTACTCTTACACTATGTAAAAATCATCATTTATTTTTTTATTTAATTTTCCGATAATTTTATAACCAATTATTAATGATAATTTTTCGGTTGCTACATTGATTAGAGCAGCCGGGTAAGAGCCTCCTTAAGTGCCTTAGATATTTCTTAAATGACAAAGCACGCAGCGATATTAATCTTTATCGTTACAATGTCTTTATCAATACAATGGCGACTATTTGATATTCTTTTCGAAACATTTAACACCGGTGTAATACGTTTACATGAAATGGAACGCAATGCGCGTTATCAGACACATGTTGATAAATTTCAAAACCGCGCGTGCGGCACATGTGCATGTTGGAAGATCTGGCGTAATGTTTACTTTAATTCACGCTTATAAACGATGAGGTCAGCCGATGCACTGGAGTAATTACGTCAAACCTCAATTTTGTCGCGACGCGGGATCGAAGAGTCACGAAAGTGGCAGCTCAATTTCGTATTCTTTCCTCATATTGTAATAAATTAGTTCTTACCTTTCTGAAATGTCTATATGTATACATCATCGACACCAGATTCATTTTCTATAGCTTCAGTAAGAAATGCATTTTAGCAGGCACGCCGCGCGGGTGTGCGTGTGTACGCTGACAATTGTTCCGCAAAGAAGACGAGCTTGTATTCTCCGCGCATTGGCATCATCCAATTTTACGGTAACGATTATATATACAATAAATATAAAAGGCATTACCGCTGCGCAACTGATCTCGCTCTGGAGACGGTAACAGAGAAGTTAATTAAAATCGCCGTCAATTCTGCCTTGCCGCGCGCGTTGTCGCTCGCGCACGTGACGCGATTTGACAATGAGCACGTCGAGAGAGAGAGAGAGAGAGAGAGAGAGGGACGTGTCGGATCTTCGGCCGCTCGTCGCGCACAGCGGTAAAAGATCCGTTTGTTTATTTCCACGTGGCACAATACTTAACATACAACATTCTATGATCGCCGCGCCGCGCCGCGCCTCCGCGCGCGCGGGACGATGACGAGCGCGACGACAAGCGGGGAGCGAGCGATGGGTGTGTGCGTTGCGTGTGTTTTGTTTGCGCGTTTTCTTTTGTCGCGTGTATGTCCAGCTGCGAACGCTGAGAACGCGGCCGGCCTCATGCAAATGCACGGGCACACAATGTGCCTCAATAGCCGCCACGTATTTATGCTATATGCTATCCGGTTCAGTATTTTCCACCGCGACTGTTTATTTCTGCCTCCGTGTACGGAGAATAACGCGAGACTCTCTTTTTAGAGAAAGGGGTGGGAAAAAGGAGAGGAAGACCGAAGGAAGAGGGGGAGAGAGAGAGAGAGATAACTGCTGACAAGCAAGAGTTCCATCGATCGCGCGCGACGATCGTTACGTATTACCTCACCACCCTCTATGCCGCGTCGCGCGTGGAAACAAACGGAGTTACATTTTGTAATTACACCCCTCGGGTCGATGCCGATGCCTACTTCGCGTAGTAATCGATCACGCGTTCTTGCGGTTCGTTTCAAAATTTACGACCCCCCAAGTCTCTGTTACGTTGCGCATTATTTAACGCAATTGGTGACCCGTTCCGATCTTCTTAGAGATTTCGTAACCGCTGATGGACACGCTTTTTCGATGAGTTTGACATGACGATATTATCGTAGGTATTATTTGAAATTTATTTATAAATATAAGCTTAGAGATGCAAAGAGACAATATGTACACGTACCATCTCTCTCTCTCTTTTTTTTTCCATTGTCCGAGCTTTATTCACGCAACGACATTAAACGTATTTTTACGTAACGTACACGCGTGAACGGAAATTTGGCTAATTATACTGTGCCAAGATAAATTCGAATTTCGGTCATATTCCACGCTGCTGATTCGCGTAAATCATTACGGTTGCGTCATTACGATTCTGGCTAACTCTCGGATTTCAGATCTAGTCGATCTTTATAACTCAAACGTGGGCTCTTTTACGTTAAGTAATTCATTAGGATTAGATAATAGCGCTTTCAAATATAAGATGATCTTGCTCTAAATAAGACCTTATTGATGCAAATTTACAACAAATATGATATATCGCATAAGAAAAACTATAGTTACGGCAATATTACAAATCTGTTCGCGCCGTTCAGTTCGTTCAAAAAGAGTCGAAAATGACCAAAGCGCGTTGCCGTGTATATATTTTAATAAAGCCGGCAACACACGCCGTGTCTCGTTTTTTATGGCGAAAAGCGCGATTTAAAATAACGGCAATGTAAATAAAACTTTACATCATGAAATACGAAACATAAAATATCACCAGTATCAATAGCACGTAAAATACTCCATTGTGTGTGACGTTTAGTAAAATATCATATTTAAATTATATACGCTCGCGCTCCCGCGCGTCCTTGCGTCGCCGATCTTTGAGGTCTTTTTTAAATCGACGAGCGCACGCTTTCTTTATTCCCCGGACAACGACGGGCGAAATGCCAGTGTCACCTCACGAGGAAAATGAATATTAATATAAGCACGTCGCGTCTCTCTCGTCGGCCGGCCGAGCGATTTCCTTGGAGCGAAGCAACGAATAATATAATAGCCGGTCCGCGGGAGATGCGTCTGCGACCGAGAGGGCGAAGCACCCGAAGACGAAGTGTTCTCATTATACCCGGTGATTTATGTGCGTGCCACCTTGCCGTCGGAAGAGATTCTAGGTTAGAAATAAAGTTAAAAGAAAAATAAGGCTTACGGGGTGCAAAGTCGAGAAAGTGTGGAGGGGGAGGGGGGACGCCGCGGCTCGCGGAATATATTACAAAAATAAGCTCACCAGCGGGGGCGGGCGAGCGGCGAGACGCGCGGTGTGCGAGAAAAGCGCCGAAAAAACTTTGAAACTACGAGGAGCCTCGGGAGATCGATGCCCCTCGACCCATGCCCTGCCGTGTAACTTTTCTTGTTTATCGAGGCGCGGGAATAAAAATCCCGCGGTCACGATTCGCGCAACCGTGCGAATAATTTCGCGTATATTTCGCCAACAATTTTTGCGATTCATTGCTAACGAAATCTCTTAAAGGAACTCTTAAAGAGTAGAGGAGAAAATAACTTTGAATTGAGTTGTATCTCCAACACCTCGAATACTTACAGCTAATTAATTTCTTGCATAACGTATCAATTATCTTTTATTATGCTCATTTGCTCGGTGCTTCTAGAATTAATATAACTATATGAGACTCTTATGAAAAAAAAAAGAAAGTGAGGAGAGAGACAAGGACATTTTTTATCTGTTTATATTTATTTATTAGCACTGCAACTCTTCGTATTTCTATCTAACAATATTTTATGTAAAATATTTGCTGAATACACAGGATCACTTTTTATGTAAAGTATATTAAATTTATGTATCGATCGTAAATATACAAGAATATTTATATTTGTGTTTTCTGATATTTATTGGATTTGTTACAATTACGCTATTACGTCTTAATAATTGTGATGCTGATTTGTTTCAGGGACACATCGGTGAAAATCCATTCGACAACGGTTCGTGGGGAAAGGAGCATTTTCAGCCATCGACAGTTCCCTGGCAGCTGAATCCGCGCAGCCACGGTCGTCCTAGTGTGAGTGCCTTTTAGTCTTTTTTTACCTCGTCCAACTTATTGCGCGAACTGCATCGATTACAAGTATCGTGGAACATCGTTAGGCGATAAAAAAAAAACTTGATCTACAACAATTCCACTTTTATACTAGCTGACAAAATACGATATTTTTCAACTGAATTTTCAAACTTATCCTAGACTTATTCTTTTCGCATCAATTGTTCGCATATTTCGCGTAATGCGATTTAGATATTATCGGCCCTAATTCTCAGCTCGCGAGGGTGGGATGCGTTAAAATTTATAATTCCGGCGCGGGTTAAGAGCGCTCGCGCGCTTGAGGATACGGAGGGAAGGGTGGAGCGGGGAAAAGAAATCCGGCGGCTCATTGTGTCGGCAGGTAGCAAAAATGCTGGCGCGGGGTCGCTGCTTTCTCGAGCTGCTTTTCTCCGAGGAGTCGTCGGCTACTACATCGTCATACCCCTCTTCGGGAGCCTCCACCCTTCGGTCCGGACCGTGTATAGCCGAGACCACCCTCTGACGCTCGCGCTCACTCTCCCGCACCACTCGTCCTGTCGCCCGGTATTTATAATACGCTTTGTTTTCCCTCAGCTATTTGTCTTGGGTTCTCGGCTCCTTCGCTAACATTATTATCCCGCGTTTTATTTTTATTTAATTCCACCGTGTCGAGTGCTCCCTGCTTGTCCCCGTTATTTATCCTTCGAGAAACTGAGCGAGCGAACGTGTCATCGAATCTGGCCGACATTCTAATTCTCTTTATACGAAATGCATTCTCCTGTCTAGGATCGCTGTTTAGGATTAGATTGTCATTGGAGATTATAGGTTTCGCAAGAGAGTACGTGACACGACGAATATTTCTTGCATATATACGAAGTATTTCACGTGCCATTGTGCATGACTCACATGCCGCGCGCGCGATTCGAGCGCGTATAATCTCTGTTCGAAATCTAAATTGCTTGACGATGTGCCAATATTCGCGTCATAATACGTGCGAGTCGCGGTAATGATTTCGATGTCCGCTAATTTGTGAATTCTCTGCCCCCTATTAATAACCTGCACGTGTGCAAATCTTCAATCTTTACGACATAAATTGCACAACACTTCTTTATTCGATATGGATTTTTCATACGCGCATTGCTATTATTGTATAAAGACTCGCATATATTCTTATAGTATGCTAAATGAAATTAAAAAAATTAATACGACGTATGCGCCGAGTTTGCTTATTAAGTTTATATTTGAAAAAATACAAAATATCCGGAAAGTATTGCTACTTCTTGCAAATGCAGATTTTCCGAACAATATGTGTACAATAATGAATTTTTTAAATTTCAACATAATAATTCAAGACGCGAATGTGTTTAGTGGAATAAAAACCATTAAAAATGAATTGAAATTTATATAAACGGCAAGAGAATATTATATTAATCCGGTACTATTCCTATCAGATAAATCCGATGAGACTCGTATAATCTGTAGTCCGCAATAATAGTTGTACTCGAACGGATGACACACTTTGTTTACCTAAGGAGGATTAAACGCGCGCGCGGGACTGTCACGCGCACGTGTGCAATCGTCGCCCGTCGTCTTCTTGATACCATCGTATCGGGCGCGAATCGTTTGCGAAGTAACAAAAGCAACCGAAACCACTGACGTCAGCGTTTCCGCGAGCGTATATACGCGACCGATGATCTCATGCGTGCATATACGTGTGTGCTTACCTAACCGCAGAGCGCGGAGCAGCTCCTTTTACGCTCGCCGTGTACGTGTACGTACACGTGTGTGGTCGTACGCACGAATTGCGCTATCACGTACATGTCTATACGTGACAACGCTGCGGCGCGATGCGGTACGCTTGCTGCAACCACGTATGCATTTGTCAGCATCTCAAGAAGTAATACGCAGCGATATATGTATATCACCTCCTACCGGTTTTCTCTCTCTCTCTCTCTCTCTCTCTCTCTCTCTCTCTCTCTCTCTCT